GGAGAGGCTAGAGGAGAAAGAACCATGCACGTTCACCGACTTTGGCCAGGTCCATCCTGGGCCCAAGATCGGTGCATACGCCCTCCTGCCTTGGCCAGGAAGGCATATGCACCGATCCTGGGGTCAAGGATGGGCCTGGCCAGGACTGGTGCATGTGCATAGTTCTCTTCTCGCCCGAGAGGTGGGAGCCAAGAGCCCAGGACAAGGCAAGGCAGACAAGACGCACAGGAGCCAGCGGGGGCGGGGGGGGGGAAGAGGCCCACAGCGCCGCACTCGGGACCTGCTCCTGGCACGCCCGGCATCCTGCGGCGGGGCGCTGCACCGCAGCGCTGCATCGCACCGGAAAAGCAGAGGAGCGGAAGCAGAAGAGGGGAGGGCCGGACGGTCCGTCCGCTTGCGCCTCGCCCTGCGCGCGCGTCCTGGAGGACCTGCCAGACCGCTGGCGGCACGCCGCGCGCCAGCTTGTGCGCTGCCCCGTCAATCCGGAAAGCGTACATCTTTAGCAGACTCGCCGCTTTCGCATTGGCAACGTCCAGGGCGGCCAAAGGGGCCCCCTAAGACCGTCCAAAGACGGCCCCTGAGGCCCCCAAGAGAGCCCAAAGACGGCTCAGGATTACCCGAAGACGGCCCCGGCCCAAGAGAGGCCCTCCTGGGCCTCAAAAGGGGCACAAGAGGGCGAATAAAAACTGAGAATTCTAGCCTTTCCCCACAAGATGACCGGACGCCCCCTAGAGGCCCCCAAGGCGCCCCGAAGAGGCGTCAAGAGGCCCCCAAGAAAGCCCCACAAGGCCCCCAAGGCCCCCCGAGGAGCTTCAAAAAGCGCCCCAGGTGCCACAATAAGCCCTCCAAGGTACCCCTGAGAAGCATCCCACCAGCCTCTCATATGTATCCACGCTCCTCTTGACCCACCACTCCATTCCTTCCACGAGCAGTGCAAGCTCTCACTGCATCTCCGCACTCCGCAAACCCTCCAAGAGGCCGTCACGAGACCCCGACAGCGCCTCGAAGCGGTTCCCAAAACGCTTTACGATTGCCTCCCACATCCATCCATGAGCCTTGCCCACAGACTCCCACAGGCATGGACGCGGAGACCGCCTACCCACATTTTCAAGGGTAGGACCGCGCGCGACATGCTCGGCCCCAGCTTTCCGCATTGACCTCTACTTTCCCAGAGCCCCGGATCCTGCTCGAAAAACGGGCGACGAACTTGACACCGCGTCTTCCACGCAAGCAACGCTTTCCGACATAGGCCGCCCATCCCCGAAGGCTCCAAGAGAGCCGGCAGGGCCCCAAGAGAGTCGAGATACGGCACAACGCGTGCAAGCCAACCAATGCCCCGAACGACTCCCGCGATCGTGCACTGCTCTTCGTCTTCTCCAGGGGTCGCCGGCGGAACGGCGCAAGCCACGTGAATCATGCCGCCCTTTCGCTGCGGAGTCGGTCATAGGTGCCGGGTGCGCGCCCATCAGCAGAGGTGGAATGCTACTGCGAGGGACTGCACTGTCGCGGGGCACCCTTCCAAATTGCAGGCTGCACCTCTCGAGAGCCGCGCCACTGCGAAGCGCTCTGGCTACCGGAGCCCAGTGCGTGCTTGAACAATTCGCTGGTCCACACACGCACACACTTTTTGGCGTCGCGACCCTGCGCGCGGCGACAGGGCGGAGAAGGTCACAAAGCAGCAAAACGCGCGTGCGACTAGGAACGCCCGAGGTCTCACAGACCGCTCAGGGTCCCGCAGCGGCCGGCTGCCATAAGTCATCCAGGCGTGGATGACGAGGGGAGCGGTGGAAGGACGAGGCTACGGTTCGGTGAAGGTGCCATAAGCCATCCAGGACTGGATGGCGGGGGGAGCGGGTAAGCAGCGTGGAGCGGCAAGAAGACCAAGACCGACCTGGAAGCCCAAACCTGGCCCACACGCACACACACACACACACACACACGGAAGACCCTCCGTCGCAGTCGTCACGGAGACCCCGCACGTCCTGCATCTCCTCGGCGCTGGCGCTGCCCACAAGCCGCGAGGGTGGGCAATAGACGAGGGCGTGGGAAAGGGAGCCCCGTGCGTGGTGGAACAATGGTCCCTGGTCCACACGGACGCAGAGACCCTCCGTCGCAGTGGTCACGGACACCCCGCACGTCCTGACATTCCTGGCGCCGGCGTTGCCCTTAGGCTATACACGAGGGCGTTGGGCGGGAGTCCAGTGCGTGGCTGAACGAGTCCCCGGTCCACACGGACGCAGACGCCCTCCGTCGCAGTGGTCACGGACACCCCGCACGTTCTGACCCTCCTGGCGCCGGCGCTGCCCTTAGGCTGCGAGGGCGGGGCTCACGAGGGCGTGGGGGCCACGCCTGGCCGCCCAGCACTGGGCCAGCATCGGCACGTGCCCCCGCAACAGCGCCGACCACCGCACTCGCATCCGACGCCGATCGACCCCCACACTGCAGCCGACGCTCGCAGGCTCCCCCAAGGCCTGAGACGGAGCCAGGACGAGGATAAAATCTTGGCGGCGCTCAAACGGGGGTAGGGGGAGGGGGGAAGGCTTCTTAGAAGCACCCTGCTTCTTAGAAGGCCTCGGCCTTACGTCTATAGAGAAGGCCCGCGCCTTCTAAGAAGCAGGGGTGCTTCTAAGAAGCTTTCCCCCCTCCCCCTACCCCCCTCTGCGCGTGGCCGAAAATCGGGTGAGGGTAAGTCAAGAATCTCAGATCACCCGCGGCTCTGGAGGATGTCTCGGGCTCCGCGGCCTTCTCAGAGCGTTCTGGAACGCTCTAAGAGCGTTCCGGAACGCTCTGGAACGGATTCATCCTCGTCCTAGCCGCGCCCGAGCCTCTTCTCTCTGCACGGGTCTGGGGCGAATGCCGTGGTGGTCAGCGCGCTGGTCGTCGTGGCGGTGGTCATGTACGCGGGCACCATCGTGCAGGCGGTTGTGTCGTCGCTCGCGGCGCTCATCTCCTGGGGGGAGAGCCAAAATCTCAATCTCTGCGAACAAGCCTGCGCGCACCCATTCCTGCTCCTGCTCCTCATCCCTCCTCCTCCTCCTTCTCCTCCCTCCTCCTCCTCCTCCTCCTTCTCCTCCTCCTTTTCATCCTCCTTTTCCTCCTCCTTTTCCTCCTCCTCCTCCTCCTCCTCCTCCTTTTCCTCCTTCCCCTACCCCTCTCTGATCCTTTAGATCCTCCTGCTCCTCCTGCTCCTACTCCTGCTCCCTATCTTGCTTCTCCCCCTACGTGGTCCTTCTTGCGGTCGGGGGGTGCAGGATTGGTCGGGTCCAGTTCTGCCCCCCCCTACTGACTGATGAGCGAATGTGGTAATCAGCGGATGCTTTTGTAAAAGGCAAATCCTCCTCCTCCTCCTCCTCCTCCTCCTCCTCCTCCTCCTCCTCCTGACTCCTCCTTCTCCTCGTCCTCCTCCTCCTCCACCTCCTCACTCGTCTGCCATCCTCCTCCTGCTCCCGCATCCTCCTCCTGCTGACAGCCTGCCCTCCTCTGCCCTCGCCCTCCGTCCTCACGTCTCCACCATCCTGATCCCGACCGCGATTGACAGTATCTGCGCTGCCCTGGCTCCACCACGTGGCGGCTTCAGGGGCTCGAACAGATGGCTTGCGCAGTGGACGGGAGCCCTAAGAGGACCCCCCTGGCCTCATCCTAGTGCTGAAGGAATGGAGCGTGCATGGACAAGGGGGTTGGGAGAGGGAGGTTTCGTGGAAAGAGGCTGCTTCTTGTAAGGTGCTGGCCTTACGTCTATAGCTAGGGCCCGCGCCTTGTACGAAGCAGCCTCCTTCTAAGAAGCCGTCCCCCCTCCCCCAACCCACCTCCGCGCGCGGCCGACGTGCGTCCGTTGCACACGCGTCGTCCATACCCAGTTGCGCTCTTTCCTAGGCGCGCTCGTACATCGCCTCCCTGGGCCCAGCCATGCCGACGGAGTAACAGCAATAGGGCTTGACTACCCCCCAGCTCCAACGAGCGGCAAACAAGTACACCCCCAGGACGAAAGTTGTTTTCCTCTTGGGCCCGGAACGACGGCTGGAAGTCTCGAGCAGACTCTGCAGACGCGCATGAGATAACCGCCGTCGGATCCCGTGAAGTTCGCGCGGATCCAATTGTGGCTTTGGCGTTTGCTTCGGTGGATCAGATTTCCATCCGCGCGGATCCGATTTCGCATTTGCTGGATCCGTGTTCGGTTTCATGTTTTACGGCGGATCCGATTATTACCCCGTAGGGGGGTTGGTAATTTCCAACTCATCATCGCCATTCGCACCTCACGAGGAAGATCTTTCGTCTTGCGTAAGTATATGTTCTGGGACCTACTTGAGGGTTGCGGAAAACCAGCAGTAACCGGCAAATAATCATTCCTCCGCCGCCGCGGCCACCGCCGTCGTCGTCGTCGCTGTCGTCGTCGCTGTTGTCCGCCGCCGTCGTCGTCGTCGTCGTCGCCGTCGCCGTCGCCGTCGCAGTCGCAGTCGCCGTCGCCGTCGCAGTCGCCGTCGCCGTCGTCGTCGTCACCGTCGTCCGTTGACGAGTGCTACTACGACTCTACGAACAACGACTTGATGGGAAAGGTACGAACCCGTACTACACGCCTTGAGTTAAACGACGCTAGATTTCCCTATCCTGTAGGGTAGGTGGCCCAGGGGGGTGTCCCACAGGAGAAATACTCGCCCAACAAAGCCAGCAAGGTGAACAATGCTGGGCAATTAGTTCTGCCGCCGACCTCCAAACCTAATTGCCAAGCCAGGGCTTTGGTGGGGGGGGCACGTGCAGCATTAAAGACCTCCTGCGGTTAAAGCGAAGCCGAAGCTGACCGAGACCGAAACTGATCGAGAGCGGCCAAGAAGAGGGCCCAACGACGTGACAACGAAACGACAACCGGCCGAACCGAACCGACCGAATGCGACCGACATGCGACGCGGCCGAGACGACCGGACCGCTGACACCCCTCAGCAGTGCCCCACTCACACGAAGCGTGCTCGCGGTGCCAGCACCAGAGCAGGCCTGCACCGCGAGGAGGGGTACTCTCGTGTGGGCTCTGCGCTGTATCCGCCATCTGGCGCGCGGGCGCCGCCGAGGCATACCGTCGTTGGCCCGGCATGGAGGTCGAGGCGGACGACGACGAAGCGGAAGGGGGACGAGGCGGACGACGAGGTGGAGGTGGAACGGGCTAGAAAGGGGAGAAGGAAGCAGGAAGAGGAAGAGAACGAGGGAAGATAAGGATGAAAGCGCTGGCGAGGGTTGCCGGGCGGACGATGAGGAGCACGAGGGTGATGAGGAGGAGGAGGCAACATCGAATAGTAAGTTTAGTAGTATTAATGATAATTATAATAATACGAGTGAAACTAATAATACTATTAAACAACAAAGCAACTGCTACTAATAATAGTTGTAATAATAATACGAAGAAGCTGCAGAGGGATGGGGGAAGAAAGAGGAAGATAATCAGAGTGTGTATGTGTGCAGTGAGCAGGAGAACGAGGAGGAGTGATGAGGCGAATGATGAGGACGACGAGGAGGAGGAGGAGGAAGGGCAGGAGGCGGAGACGGAGGAGGTGAGGGGCGGAGAAAGGGAATGGGGATGCGTGCTGCAAGAAGCACGCAGAGCAGTGGAGGGCAGGCAGAGATAAAAGGGAACTCGAGGCAGTCTGCAGCTTTGCCGCGGCTAGCATTTGCAGCTGTGGCAGTCTCGTCCAAAGAGCCCGGAACATGCAGGAAAACGGAGGCTCCTGGCTCCTGAAGGGTATGAAAGGCAGAATGCAACAGAGCGAGCCTGACAAAAGGAGGGCACTCTACTCTACCGAGCAAGCAGCCTCGACCGCTGCACTGCCCACCCCGAGCCAGGCCTGGGCCGGCACGCTCTGGGCCAGCGCGTCCAGGGGGGGCACCTCCGCGGCCCAGCACCAGGGAAGGCTCCGCCTACCCGTCCATCTCCCTGCACCTCCGCCGCGGCGGCGCGTCATCCCGGCATGCGCGCGCTCCTCGGAGACAGCTGGCTGCCGCCCGAGGAGCACAGGCTGCTGGCCGTGCGCCCGAGCCACTGCCGGAGGCTGATCGCCGCGGCCCCGGGCCGCAGCGGCCCGAAGAGCATCAGCGCGGCCGGCAGCGGACACAGGGCTACGCAGATGGACGTGAGCGTCACGGCGAGGCACATGGCCCCCAGCTTCCTGAAGATGACCAGCGTGCAGGGCAGCAGGAAGGCGGATGCCCCCACCGTGGTGATCGCGCTCCCCAGCGTGGCGCCGCCTTTGGGCCGGTGGGGCAAGGGCGGGGTCCTGAGGGCTGGGGTCCCGAGGGTCAGAAAAGGGGTCCAAGGATAGATTCACACTGTTTGGGGCACCTCGTCCTGAGGACCCCATCCCTGAGGACCCCATCTTTGAACCACCGATAAGGGGCGTTTGCGGGGGAGGGGGAGGGGGGGCGGGGGGCAGCAGGGACACCTGGCCCATTTTCCCTGGCGGAGGGCCGGGGGTGGAGAACGGCAAGGCCGTCCACGGCGACGGCACAGCCGAATACTGGCCGAGCCGAAAGCCAAAGTGAAACCAGGTAGTGTAGAAGTTCGCAGCAAGGCAACAACGGCACGACATCCGACCACATCGAAACGAACCGACCGAATGAAACCGACTGCAACACAGCTGAGCCGACCGAAGAGCGGACACCCTCGTATAGGATGGATGGCTGGAGAGAAGGAGGGGGGAGCGGGAGACAAGGGAAATGGACGAAGCACGGAGGCGGCCGATGTCTGCACGTACTTCAACCGGCTCTTCAAACTCCGTTCAAAGAGCTGCCTATGTTATATGAGTCTCTGCAGGAGTATCCGTGGCGGCCCAGGCCTCCATTCAGGCCCTCCCGAAGCGCTCAAGACGGCCAGCCGGATGGCACCTGAGGCCCTGGAGTGGGTCCAGGACTGGCGCAGGACCTTTGTGGGCCCCAGAAACGCCAGGGCCGTTCTTTCACCGTTTCCAGAAAAATGTCCCTTGAAAATGGAAACGGCAAAAAAACGGCGACAGGAAACGGCAAAAAAACAGCTCCAGGATTGGAACCGGAGCTGGAACCGGTCAAAAAACTGCGACGGAACAAGTAAAGACAGGCGTCGGAACCGGCAAAAAAACGGCACCGGTAAAAAAACGGCCCTGTCGTTTCTAGGGCCCACTAAGCGCAGGACAGCTGAGTGTAGCCCAATGATGGGCCCGAAACTGATGGCCCCAGAACGGCCTCCGCGACCACGACGGAGACAAGGCCGACTTGTCGGAGGCGTGGCGAGCCCGGGTGGAGATTTGAGGGAGCTGCCCGCGCTTGAGCGCCTCTGTCGGTGGCGCCGACACGAATCTACAAGGCGGGGACGACAGCGGCGACGACGATAACAAGGACGACTAGGACGACGATGAGCAACGACGATGACGACGACAGCGACGACGAACGACGCACGAGTGAGACGGTGACAAGGACGGCGACGACAAGAACGGAGACGAGGACAACGACGGCGAAAGCGACGACGACCTCGACGAGGAAGACGACGAAGACGACGACAAGCAACGTCAACGAGCAAGGCGACGAGGACGACAAACGACGAACGACGACCATGACAAGGACTGCGACGAGGAGGACGACAACGACGACAATAACCACGCCACGACGACCACAGCAACGATTACGACGGTCGATGGCTGACGATGATGACGATAAGAACGAGGAGGGCGAGTAGAAGAACGAGGAAGAAAAAGACGAGAAGGAATATCAAGAGGACGATGACTAGGACCAGGGCAACATCCAGGACAGCAAGCATAAAAAGTCGAAGATCACGAGGAAGATATTGTGGAGGAAATCGGTGGTGCTTGGGATTATCCCGGGTTCTGCCAGGGGCATCGCCAACCACTCTCTTGGACTTTTGGCCTTGTTGGAGACACCTCGAGGCGTCGGGAACTCTTCTGCAGCCACGTTGCAACCTCTTTGAGCCACCTCGAAGCCTGATTGGCACTTGGAGGGCTTTGAAATCTTCATGGGACCATCTTGGAAGCCTCTTGGACTGTTCTCAGAGGCCTCTGGGTCCTTGCAGAGGTGTAGTTCACCCAGGCCTGAGGCGGGCCTGTTTCACCTGAGCCTGGTTCACCCAGGGCATAATCGCCTGGCCAATTGCACGTAGGCCTAGCGAGTCAAGGCCTGAACATCCAAGCCAATTTCACCCCGTCTGTCTCCCCCTGGCCAATTCCACCTCGGCCCGTTTCATCCAGGTCAATTTCACTGGGTCTCACCCGACCCGTCTCAGTTTTGTATAGTCTGATTGGTTGTAGACTGCAGGTTAAGTGGGAGGGGGTGTGGGCTCAGGTAGCCATTTTGGGTCCGTAGCGTTCGGCTCTGGCCGACGCGCGGGTGTTCCAGGGGGCCGCGGGGCGGCCATAACCACAGCCGTGCTAGTCCGCGGACTAGGTAGCGCGCCTGTGGTGCCATGGCTGTGGGCTTCCTGGGGGCGCACCTGATGATCTTGGTTACGGGCGGCGCTCTTACGGTCCAAGGGGCACTTGGCTGGCTGCCATTCGGGCGCGGGGGACATGAGGTCCCAGCGCCGACGCCGCCAGCCCTGCCCGGGCCGACAGCGCCGCCGGCAGGCGGTGGGGGGCGAGGCAAGGGGCGAGGACCGCCCGCCAAGCCCGCGCCTGCAGGGGGAAAGGGGCGAGGGCCGCAGGCCAAGCCCCCGGGGACGCCGGGCGTCCCACCGCCGCCGCGGTCAGGGTCGACCACAACGACCACGACCGCGGGCATCGGGCGCGTAGGCGAGGGCGAGCCCACAGGCAGCCCAGCTACGCCGGCATACGGAGGTAACAACGAGCCCACGGGCGCGCCTGGGCAGCCGTCCGCCCCGGGAAACCGGACGGGCGATGGTGAGCCTGACCTGCCGCGTGGGCCGGACGGGTATTGGGGGTGGAGTGGTTGGGTCCCGCACCTGCCCCATTGGTGGGCTGGCCGGAGCGAACCCCCACCGCCGCCGCCGCCACCTACACCGCCCCCGGAGGCAGGGCCGGGTCCCGGTTGGGGCTTCGCAGCCTGGGTCTTCGAGGTCGTGGGCTATGGAGCGTGGGTAAGCTCCCCCGACCACCCGGGCACGATCCGCACGAGTGGCGGATGGTTTGGATCCGCCGTCGACCGCCTGGGCGTCAAGATGCTTGGGTATTGGTGGGAGACCGCGGTCTTATGCTTTGCCCTAGGCATCTTCACGTTCGTGTTGGGTGCCCTGGCCTTCATCGTCAACACCGCAGCCCAGCCTATGCTGTGGGCTGCCGGGGGACTCCGCTGGGCGTGGTACCAGATTACCCGGTGCTGCCAGCGACGCGGAGGGGATGGGCCTGGCGCCCATCTTCCCCCACCCCCTCCGACCCCCTTGCTGGTGCGCTGGCGCGGGCCGGGCTTGGGCGGCGTGGTGGAGACAGAGTTCTACACAAAGGGGGTCCGCGGCCGAGGGACCAATCGGGCGTACAACCACGTGCTGCTGCGTAAGCACGGGCAGGTGGCCCGCATCAGCTGCAACTTCGCGGACCGGTACCGATTGGACCGCCACGGGCTCAACATCAAGATCGGGCAGGTCCTGGGGTGCACCAGTCGCAAGTGGCGGCTGAACCTCGAGGAGACAGGGAATGTGCATCTATGTCGTGCTGTCGAGTGCGCCTCCTGTCCAGTGGCGCATCCCATGCACGTCGACCAGTACGCGGCCATTGACCACACACAGATCGTGGACTTGGCTGAGCACGGAAGGGCCACGGCCTGCCGAGCAGTCGGCGTGGGACTCCGGAAGGTATTCGGGGTCGTCAAGTGGCTGCTTTGCTCACCCTGGTCGGTACTCGGATGGCTGTGCCGGGGCCGGCCGGAGCCCCGCTACATCACCGACGCCACGGGCTATCGCCGCCTGGACATCGACTCGGAGAGCGAGGTGGAGGCGGAGGAGCGCCCCTGCCAAGCCGCACAAGTTGGGGTGCAGCTCGCGGGTGGCGCACGCCCCCTCCAGCCGGAGGGGTGCGGCGACCGAGGGATGCAGGAGGCCACTGTCCTGCTACAGGAGGACGCGGAGGTGTCGGACGTTCCTCGGCCTGGGCATTGTCTCAATGCACAGGTGCACCTCTGCGCCCACCATGCGCAGAAGTATCGGTCTACCCTGATCGGCCGCAAGTGCAGCCTCCCCACTTGTCTCCGCATGGCGAAGGGTAGCTGCGGGGGGGCCCCGATGTGCGGGGAACATCTCCGACGGGACGAGGGTCACACCGTGCGCGTCGAGGCGACGGTCCAACCTGGGATCCTCGGGGGCCTGCGCCGCCGCATGCGGGCGCGGGCTCCAAGCCCCGCCAGGGTGCGCGATTGGACCGCGCACGCTGCCGATGGGGTTGGCATTGCGGCCGAGCCGGTCTACCCCCCGCCTCTACCTCCCCCCGCTGCACCGCCACCGCCCGCCGTGGCCCCATCTGTCGATGTGGAGCCCACGGGGGCGCAGGCCCTAACCTCGGGGCCGCAGCCGCGTCGCACACGCTCCGCGGAAGCTAGGGCCAGCGGACGCTCACGGTCTGCCGACCGCGGGGCCCCGGGCGATCGGATCGCCCACCACGGGTGGCTTCAGGAGCCCCTACTCGTGAAGGTCTGCCCGATACTCCCGGGCGACCCTCGGGGAGCCGAGGAGGCGTACGGCGCGCCCCCGGCGAGTCCTTGGTTTATTCTATTGGGGGAATGCGAGGGGCTCGACGTACGGGGCACTGGCGGGGACGCCAGACTTATCATCGGGACTAGCCTCGAGGGCGTCAGGGTGGAGGTCCCAGCCAGCGAGGTCGTACGGCACCCCCCCCCGCTGGAGGACGGGCGCTACCCGATAGATTGGATCAATCGGCTGCTGTACGAGGTCCCCCAAGGGGCTCGGGAAGTGGGGTTGCGTGTCATCGCCCACCACATCCCGCAGGATCTGCTGGCGATGTTACGCCAGGAGCAGTGGGACGGTGTGGACGTGGAAAGCGCGAGCGGCTGGAGGCGGCGCTACCTGACGAACACGGAGCGCCAGCAGCTGCAGCACGACCCTGTACGCACACTCGGCCACCATCGGCGGGGTGGCGCGCAGGGGGCGCCGCCTGCGCCCGGGATGGAGGGCTTGCCCCGTCCCGCCCCCGTGGCGGCACTGTCGCGCTTAGCGGCGGCCGCCGCCGGCGTGAGCGAGGACGCCGAGGAGCCCGACCCGCTCGAAATGTTCATGGACTCCTTGCGAGCCGAGGATCTCAAAGGAC